ATCTTACGGAGATAGGCGATATATAGCGTCTACTGTTCTTTCTAGATACTTGCACGATTTTTCGTTAACATATATATATATATATATATATGTGTCCGTCAGCAAGCAATTTATTTGAATTATTTAATTTTAATTTTCGTCGCGAGATACATCTAGACTCTTTTTATATTTTCACCGAGAATAAAAAAAATTTTAACAAAAACACAGAATTCCTAATATTAATACTTTAACATTACAAAAACAAAATGGAATGTAATTATAATTAATTTATATCTACATCGCTCTATCTTTGTCTAAGTCGTCTCTGATATTCTTCCAGAGAATTACAGCAAAGAGACTTGCTTGTACCTATCAATAAGAGCTCGTTATCCCTTAAAGTTGATTAGTTTGTTTCCCTCTTTGAAAAAAGATGATACTGCAAACGCGCTCGTTTGAAGCAACGACGCGATGCCAGAACGCTTGCGTTTCCGGCGGTTGCATTCAATTGATGCAGCGTGATGCACAAGGATGGTTGCAGAGTCCGCAGCATCCTCGCTCTAATGCTAAAGTACTCGACCGCTCTTTGACCCGGCGTCTAAATCAACCTTCGGTTAAAGAAGCCAGCAAAGCATCGACTCGACGCTTGTTACACGATAACATTCTTCACAGTACACAATTTTTTATCTCGACACGAAATACAAATACTCTGGGTGTGTAATATATTCTTTTCTCAGCTTCATTAAGCCCATAATAGTCGAAGTCGAGAACATGTATATGAACATTTAAGTGTCTAAAGAGAATTGAAAATTATCTGTGATATGTTGAAAACAATGTTACTTTGAGATTTTTTTATTATGTCTTTTCTTGCAACGTTCAATACGTTTGTATTCGGCTTCTTTTCAAAGGTTCCGTCTTGAGCCTTATTGATTAGAGTATGCCGGAATAAAAGAGACGAGTTTCAAATATATTCGATAAAGTTTGAATTTAATAGAATCACAATGAATACAAAGTATATTAAAATAATTGGAAATGCACTTTCTAATTTTCTACGCGAGAAGTCATGATATCACAAACTTGAAATTCAAAATTCTATCTCTGTATGTATTTCGTACGTGTACAATAAAGATATTTCAATAATACATTATACATTGAATGAAAACATATATGAAAAAAATAACTAAAAAAATAAAATTATTTAAAGAGACTAAAGATATTCTGCATCGTAGCGAATTAACAATAACGTGAATGTATGTGATAAAGTGAACGCGTTAATCTACAAACAATGAAAACGATGAAACGTACACGATGAAACCTTCTCGTATCCAATTTGCTAAAAATTAAATAACGAATATTAAATAAATCCTCGAAAACAGAACGCACAAAGAGTAAATTCGCAAAAATACAAAATTTCGTGGCCGATGAAAACTTGTTGAGAGTTCTCTTGGCCGATTGTTCTGGAATTTACGCGGAACGAGGCTAACGAGGCGACACATTTTCAAACAATACGCGGGTGGCCGCTTTTCATCCCCGCGCCTTCGGCGCTCTCTTTTTTTTTTTCCTCGCCATATCGTATCGCGTGTTGCAAAGTTCGTCGATGTTATTCGACCCGCGCTATTGAAAGTTGACAACCAGCGGGCGAGCCGTCATCGTGTGCGTGCGCATGTGCGTGTGCGTGTGCGTGTGCGTGTGCGTCGCGACGCGCGTACTGTACGTGGCACGAGAGAGCACTCGGGCATGGCACCGCCACCTCCGCCGAGAGGGATGACATCCCTTTGTACGTTCGAGTAGATTTCTAAATAGCATAGCGCTCGTCGTCTGAAGAGCTCTTATTCGCTCGAGACGAGCCCCGTTCTTCTTCGCTGCATGGGGCGGGGGAGAAATGCCGACGGACATCTTCGTTGTATTATCGACGATTTAAAGCGGATTTCCCGCGTACGGATTTCCCGTTCGCCCTTGTCGATCGAGACAATCGGATTTGAAATACTGCCGGGGTACTCCTACCCTAAGTGGGTAGCTCGTTATTAATTCATCTACGTATTGTAGAATCCCCAATTAGAATTATAATGATAAAAAGGTTGGTCAAATTCATGAGGCTATAATAATTACCGTTGTCGCGGCTAACTCAGTTTGTAAAAATTATGATAACACAGCTAAGAAATATGATAATAGATTCGGATTTGTTTAGTGTATTCCATACGATTTTAGGAGATACGATCGATTATTTGCAGGGCGAAAAGATCTATCTTTATGCATTAAAGTAATGTCAGATGATGAAAATTCTTTAATCATAAAAAAGATTATTTTATAACTTATTAGAATAAAAAAGGTAACATTGTTGATCACTAATTTTTAATTTTTTATCATAATATTAATATCCTATTATTAGAAAATTTAAATAATTTTATATTCTACTTTCAATTATTATTGATTACTTTGCATTTGATGTTGCATTCTAAAAATGAGATTGACATTCTTAATGTCAACTTCATTTTTAGAATGCAATGAAGCTACTGTCAAATTGGAAATAGTCAATTGTTTACGCACAAAATGGACATATTTTTATCAATTTTTGATTGTGTACAAAACAGTTACACGATGGATGGAGTTAATTTTTTGCAAGGACATAAAAAAAGTTTGTTCTAACTACTTATATTTATATTTTTTATGTGTATATTTAATTTCATTTTAAATAATATTCTAAAATCTAATATTTAAACAGATCGAAGCATTTTGATTTTTCGATCATATCTTCTTAATAATAGGGTCATCTTATTTCTTTAATCGCATTGATATCGCATTTTTTATTTGTTCCGTATTTGCATTGGAAGAAACAGCATGAGTCAGACAGAATATTCTTAAAAAAGGCTGAGATATTACGTAAAGTACGAAATATTCGAACGAGAACATTATGCAGTAAATGCACGCGTTTTCTCTCGCGATCGTAAACTTCGCACATCTGTTCCGTACATCCTGGCAATATCTCGACGTAGTCGAGAGTTCTTTCACACTTGAATGACGATCTGCGCTTGACCTTAGAATGCTAATGAACTATGGCTTTTATATCTGCACTTGTGACTATCATTGCCATCTAGTGACCGCTTACGAATCGAGGGACATAAATAATTAGAGTTGTTTTAGATAAAATCCTATGAAATTTTAATTAGGAATTTAAGAATTTTGCATTTTTGCTCTACCTATTTATTACTAATTTTTATCGAAAAATTCGATTCAAAAGTAATGTTCTATGTAATTTTTAGGGGAAAAAAAATAGAAAAATTGAATATAGATTTTACATTATAATTTCTCAATTGTTTATGCGCATTACACAAGTATTTCGTACATCATTTGTATTTATTTGTTTATTTCAAGCCGAAGGTATTGGGTATATCTTGAATATTCCAGTTACATAAAACATCCATAAATTTCATACACGTGTATGAAAAATTAAATTTTTTTATCTTCGTACTTTTCTTCGTACTTTTATTTTCATAATCTCTTTTATGTTTTTTTTTTTTTTATATTACCTCAATCGTCTTTCGCGACGAAATCTGTGCACATTACCAATTAAATGATCAGATATATCAATGGATAGTGATGTGTTCGTGTAATTAGGGAATAATATACCAGAATCTCGCATGACAATTATCTCGTATCCCGCAGCGCATCATCTGGTTAGCACATGTGCTGCACGCAGCGCGATCGTACATACGGATGCAAACCATGTATGTATTTGCACGAGAACCACTCGCGCATACACTCACACATACACACATACATACAGTACGCATTTACGCACGTTCGCGTTCCAGTATCCTCGATTACGTTCACTACTGGCCTACATTACTTCACTAGCTTACATTTCTTCGTATTCACGCTCAAATACCCGTGCGTTAAACAAGCTGCTGCATACAACATTTTTTCGTGAAAATTCACAATTATACGCGCATGATTAATCCAATTATTGAGATAAAACTTTGTATTCAACGGAGAGACGATGAAATGGCAATTGAAAAGATTTAATTAATCCCTTCATATAGTTGCAAATGATGAACAAGAGCTGTGTACGTATTTGCATTTGTAACAGGATTGAGTTCTACATGCAGTTTTCTAAATACATAATTTTTCGAATGTTATAAAAAAGGAGAATTTCGAATAAAGAAAAAGCGAAATATCGAAGGAAAATTTATTTCTAGCATGTTAAATATCTTTAATAACATTATGTCGTAAAATATTTTATAGAGAAAAAGGAAATTTTCATAGATTAAAATCTTCATTACAGATTCATAAACAACGATGGATAAATGATTAAAAAAAATTAATGAAAAAGCAAAAGAATCACTTACAAAAACATATATTTTATTAAACATAATAATGTCGTATTTATACGTGAAAACTTTATTAGTGAATTTATTGAAAAAAAAATTTCTATCTTTTGAAGAGGCATTATTTTACACATGTATATCTGAATAACATCACTTTGTTTTGAATCCTGCAAATGATCAATATTATGAATACACGTGTGCCACTCTTGCCATTCACAATATCCTGCTTAATATAGACATATATGCATTGATTTGGTTGCATTCGCATATGACAAAACTGCAATGTTTTATATTATGCATGTAAGATATCTATATACATATTTATATTTATGTATATTATTTCATTTATGTATTCAATTTATGTATATACATATTTATATTGTATTCTTTCTTTAGAGCGGTCTAGAAATAAAATGTGATTCTTTGTGCTCAAAAAAGCCACTTTTTTTTTTTAGCAAAATCTGAGTACTAATTTATAAAAACAAATTATCTATTATCTCTACAGTCATACAGTCACAATATTTAATTTTATTTAAATTAAAGAAAATTATTTATATAATTTATCTTGTTAAACATAAAAGAAATTATTATTTATTTATATAGTAAATGAAAAACTTAGAAATTAATCAAAGAAACTATCGAAGAAGAAAAGTACAAAATATAAAATATACAATTAAAATGAATAAAGACTTGAGATGTTTATATAATGTTGTGATTCTATCTCTGTTTATCATCATGATATACTAAATCATGATATACTAAAATGCTTAGTATGTTAATTCGAACGTTTATCGAAGCTACTATTTTATCCAAGATTAAACAAGCTCCGAAAAAAATGCTTTCTACGAATATATCAAAAATTAGTGTTTTAATTTGCATAAAAATGTATTGATCACGAATTATACATGTTATTTGCACAGTTGAAAGATCAGTGTATTACCTCGAGCGAAATACAATATATATGTGTAAACTGCCGCGTTTATCGCAACTATGCATTTTGTTGCGGACGCCACTGCGATCGATTGAATTCGCACACAGCAAAATTCGTGGACAAACTCTCGAGACGTCGCGTCATACTCGCTCTTCGTGAATTGCATCGAACAGCCCGGGCTCGTAAATTTTCGTGATAGAGGAGATTCGACGAGCATACGCGCGCTTGGACCAACTTCCGGATTGACGATGTTCGTGCACACTTACACAGCGTTCTGTAAAGCCATGTGCAAACTCGAGCAAATATGCGAGTAAAGTCGACATCAATGTGTGCACTCGAGATTTTACAAAAGACCGCAAGTCTTTCTACATATTGTACAAGTATTATAGTATCACACTACATTCTATCACTTTCAAAAATTTCATGTGTTTGATTCAAAACGTTATTGTTATTTATATATATATATATATATATATATATATATATATATATATATATATATTATTCGT